CTGTAGCCATTTTCAACCTTTTTTAGTACAAATAATTGAGTCGAACCAATTCTGAATTGCGCAAAAAATTGGTATGTCCTTATAGGTACAGTGGCATTGTCGGGCCAGGATGATCGCAGGGGCCAACTTTTACATTGTAGGACGAGATCCAGCAGGTATGCCCCATCCGGAGACAAAGAAGGACCTGTACGAGCCCACACACGGTGGAAAAGTGCTGACCATGGCACCAGGCCTCACCTCTCTAGAGATTATTCCCTTCAGAGTTGCTGCATACAACAAAGTTAAGAAGGCCATGGACTTTTATGACAAGGAAAGGTATGTAAATATTTAATGTCAGCCCTACGAACTGCACTTAAATGTTTAGAATGGTTTAAACGCCATGAAAATTTGTAATAATTCATATATTTACACATTGAGCCCTCAGATTAATGTAGAATCAAGATATTAAGGATACTTAATATGGCCATATAAATGGATAAAAAAGGACATTTAATATCGCAAGGCCATATAAATGGTATAAACTGCAATTCTCTCTCTCTCTATCTATCTATCTATATATATATATATATATATATATATATATAGGTGCATCTAAAAAAATAAAGAAAAAGTTCATTTTTTTCTGTAACTTATTTACAGAATATTATTTATTTCAAAAAAATATTTCATATATTCTATATTTATTACATGTAAAGTAGTAAAAAAAAGTTTTTTTTGTTTTAATTTTGATGATTAGAGTTTACATCTCATGAAAGTCAAGAATCCAGTATCTTAAAATATTAGAATATTTACATTTGAGTTTCATTAAATGACCATCCCTACAGTATAAATTCCGGGTATCTCTTGTTCTTTGAAACCACAATAATGGGGAAGACTGCTGACTTGGCAATGGTCCAGAAGACAATCACTGACACCCTCTACAAAGAGGGTAAGTCACAGAAGGTCATTACTGACAGGAGTGGCTGTTCACAGAGTGCTGTATCAAAGCATATTAAATGCAAAGTTGACTGGAAGGAAGAAATTGGGTAGGAAAAGGTGCACAAGCAACAGGGATGACCGCAAGCTTGAGAATACTGTCAAGCAAAGCCGATTAAAACACTTGGGAGAGCTTCACATGGAGCAGACTGAAGCTGGAGTCACCACGCTCAGACGTCTTCAGGAAAAGGGCTACCAAGCCACTTCTGAAACAGAAACAACGTCAGAAGCATCTTACCTGGGCTAAAGAGAAAAAGAACTGGACTGTTCCTCAGTGGTCCAAAGTCCTCTTTTCAGATAAAAGTAAATTTTGCATTTCATTTGGAAATCAAGGTCTGGAGGAAGACTGGAGAGGCACAGAATCCAAGCTGCTTGAAGTCCAATCTGAAGTTTCTGAAGTCAGTGATGATTTGGGGTGCCATGACGTCTGCTGGTGTTGGTCCATTGAGTTTTATCAAGTCCAAAGTCAATTCAGCCGTCTACCAGGAGATTTTGGAGCACTTTATGCTTCCATCTGCTGACAAGCTTTATGGAGATGCTGATTTCCTTTTCCAGCAGGACTTGGCACCTGCCCACAGTGCCAAAACCACTTCCAAGTGGTTTGCTGACCATGATATTACTGTGCTTG